AAAAATCTGGCCCAAAATTTCAGAATAACAGCAACACACACAGACTACAGACCCACACTTAAAGGACGAGCTTTGGCCTTTACGCTCCCTAGAGTGATGAGCATCACAGATTCAGTCTTACAGTCCTGGATATCCCAAGGCCTGTATTGGCCGAATCAGCGAATAACACCTTTTTGCTTTGTTTTATATTGTTTTTCTCCTCTCCCTTGTTCCCTGAAATTGCAAACATCTCACAGGAAATATCATGTGAGGATTTTGACATTTTTAAAAATCATATTTTCCAAAGTGGCAAAGACTTTGGCACGATCAACTGTTATTTTTGGATGCTGTGCTCTATTCCTGGTCACCACTATCTGGCAGAATGGTTTCCTAGCTTCTGCATATGGTTTACCACTGGACTAAGGAATCTTGATCATCTTAAATATTATCCATCACTGAGCAATTGTCCGTGGATTATCTTCTCTGGACTGATGTGAGCCAAGAGTTCGTTTCTTATTTATTGAGTCTTCACAAGGAAACTTTGGAAATCAACCTGCTTGGGATGACAAAGCTCAACCTCTAACTTTAGAGTCTTCCAAAATATTTTTTAAAAAGCATCAGAGTTCAGATCGATGCTTTAGAGTAGCAGTAGTATCGTTTTTTTTTTCCTTTTCCTTTTCTTGTTTGAATACATCTAAGACCCTCAGAGCTTTCTTCTCAGAGGAGGCTGATTGCTTCAAAGGGACACAGTTAATGAAATTAAAAGCCCCTGGTGGTGCTTAAACAGACACTCTGTTGTGTCACAATAAACCAGTTAGTGTAACTGCCATCTTTATCTGACAAGGTAGGCTTCTCCCCCCATTTTAATAGGGAACCCCAGAGGAGGACACTCTCTGGCTACTGTCCAGCCCTTTCAGCCTATCCTCTGGACTATATCAATTCATGGGGCAAATCAGGGGGCTTCAATATAGCACAGATGAAAAGGACATCCTCTGAGCTCCTGCCTATCAATCAGTGCAGATTTTTTTTCTACAGCATTTGTGTTCTCTCGGTTCAGTTTGGCAAAAGAGGATTGGCTTCAGACATTCCTACCAAAAGAGAAAAGAATTCTGATGAAATACTCCTGGGTGGAGTGTGCTGTTGTATATGGCATCTGTGTGTGTGT